GGGATTTTCACAGTTAGGACTTCTACAAACATTGACTAAGGAAGAACCCATTGAAAACAATTTTCCGTTCAGGCAAATTGGAAAGTGAACACACAGCCCAAGGTTGTTCTCTTGCTTGGGAAGCAAGTTGTGAATGCATTCTAATCCCTTGATAAGTTGATGAAAAAGATTTGGGGTTCATTTCTCTTGCAATTTTTTAGATTATATGAAAAGAAAGAAATAGGAGAACTTTCAATGGGGTGGAAGAGAATATTGATAAGATTAGAGTCTAAATCCTAGGTTCTTTTGTTATAGGTCAATCTTTTTACTCCATGAAGGATTTTGGAGCTTTGATCGATATCCTGGTTGATATGTAAATATTCCTATATATGGATTAGCATTCCCTTGGTGTTTGTACTTAATGATACTTTATATTTTTATTTCAGAAGGATGACACATAGGTCAGAAAAGAACTGATATAATAGGGTAGGACAAGACAAAGACATAATTGTGTTTTTTCTGTATATGAAATTAGACTGAACGTTTTACGTAGTTAATGGCTGAAGAATACAAGAGAATGCTTACAATTACTATAGTTTCCTATGTCATGTTTGATTTTTTTTTTTAATTTTTATGAGAATTGAGAAAATTTTGAAATTAAATTAATTTAAATGTAACATTTGAAGTTAAGGAAAAAAAATTACTATCCTTGAATAAAGTTCGAATCATGTTAAGAATAATATTCCTTTGATTTAATGGGATCGATCAGAAAAAATGACAAAGGTTGATGCTATCTGAAATTCAGTATGTTGAACAATTTCATAAGCATATATATATTATATGGATCTTTTTCAGGCTGATGCGAAGATGTGGATGGTGCTAACCTCAGGACCTGAAGTGCAAATCAGCATCATTTCCTATATTTACACCATTAGTAGCCAAAGCCCCTTCAGGTCCCTCTCCAAAACAATCTCACACCAGGGATTTGATGTGTCACTCTAGCGAGAAGGAACTATCACCAAGAGAATGAAAGATTTGTTTGAGATGACGGAGAAGGAAGAGCCAAGGGAGAGAGATATAAGGGAGATGGAGATGGAGTTTTGCGAAACATAAGCAGAAATCTGGGTATTATGGAATAAGATTAATTTGCACATATTAGCAATTTGTTGTGAGTAGTTTGGGAATGTCACAGAAATATAATTTTTTAGAGAAAAAGGGAAATTTATGTATTAAAGGGTTAGAGTTCAACCATGACCTGAATAAGAGTTTGGGAATCAGGGGAAAGTTCGAGCATGCCTTGTCGGCCAAGCGAAAATATCATATCCTCTCTTCCAGAAACTAGGTGTGAAATGTTGTAAGAGCCAAATTTGGCCTTTCAGCTGAGGGTGGCATTCTAACCTAGCAGGGGCACTTGCAGGTCCCGACCTTAGCAGTTTTATTCAGTTCAAAATGGGATGTGATGATCTGATTAGCTTCTGGAATGATCAGGTATTATAACAGATCTTTGAAAGGACTTTCCTTCTCTTTTCTTCATTGTTCATCATAAGGAGGCTACGATTAGGGAAGGTTTTTGAGGCATACAGTGGTGGAATCTGTTAAAGTATCACTCTCTTACAAAATAGAAGTTGGAACCATTGAGCATCAAAACTAGCAAAATTGGAATAAAAAGGCGCCCAAGGCTCTCTCACTCTATTAGTCCAAAAGATGGTATGAAGAGTAAGTGCAATAAGCCTCTTCTTGGTTTGTGGCTGAAATAGCAACCAAAGCAAACAACTCATCTTGAATGGGCCAACTAACCACACCCAATGAACTGCTAACCGAGTTCCACAGCCTTCGCCCCTTAAGATGCAATAAAATAATAAGGTTAGAAGATTCTTTGTCTCACATATACATTGAGCAAAGGTTAGTAATTCCGTGGGGTTCAGTTGTTCCATAGAGAAGGAATTTTGCGCCACTCTTTCTTTTACGCCACCAAAAGCCAGATTAGTTAGTTGCTTTCCCAAATGTTTCCTTTTTTTTATATGGTAGGAAGGAGGAATAAGAGGATTTTGAAGATTTTTTTCACCAAGTAATACTCTTGTGGTTGGAACGGAATGCCAGAATTTTTCAAGCAGCAATCTCAACAACCAGAACTCCTTTGGGAGTAGAATTGTGCTTTTCTTATTCCTGATGGACTATGTCTCAGCAAAGAGATTAAACTGCTCTCTTGAATTGAAGAATCTTCTTTATCTCTTTATATTTCCCAAATTTGATAGGGAGATGCCTTATTATCCCCTTTTTCTGGACAGTAAGGAATATCTCCAAGCTTTGCTCAAAACCAGAATCCATTCCTGGAAGATTTAAAGAGCAAATCTGACTTGTTGCACTCAGGATTTTATTTCCAGAGAACTACAAACAAAAATCTAAAACAAGTTATCAAAATAGGAGCACACCCCCTCGCAACTGAATTAACCCTTGTAGGTCATTCTCCCCCTGTTTCTATTACTTTTTTCTTTCTAATAAACAATA